CGCTTGCAAAATCCAGCCTCTGGTGACGACCTAACCAAGTCTGTGTGTGTGTCTGTATGTGTATGTGCACATGTGCATATACATATGAGTTTTTTTTCAGTGGTGGTATTTATTTTTTTAACTTAAGATTTTTAGTACAAACTGGAACATCACCCTCCCTGTCAGTGCACAACTGGGTTTTCCGTCAGTTTGCGAGAAGCCGTGAGCTTTTCTGTCTCTGTGCCTTTTGCCAGCGCTTTTTTTTTTTACTGTTGTTTCGCTTATTCATATGGATTTTTGCTCCGCGTCCGGCGTCTCAGATTGCAGAGAATGCCAGCAGCAAAAAGCAGCGTTCACCTGGTGGAAAGGCAACTCGGTCATTTCGGTGTTGGTGAATCGCTACTCACCTGCGGTCAGCCGCACGAGGGATGCCCAGGGCCGGCCGCAGCCTCAAGGCTTCAGGAAAATATCTCAGCCACTTTTTGGAGGCCCTATCTCAGAGGGTTTTGCTTTCCTCAAACACAGAGGCTCTTTCCCACAAAAGAATTTTTTTCCATCCCTCAGGCGCCCCGGTTGCCTTTCCCCGGCAGAGTGCGTGTCGCAGCACCTGCTCCCAAATGTCCCCCTGACCCCGGAGTCGTGCCGTCGGCTCTCCCCGCTCCCTGGACCTGCCTCAGCTCTGGGTCTGTCACACTGAGTGAGGCTCGTCCCACCTCTCCCAACCCCAGCGCTGGGGCCAGGCTCCAGAAAACCCAGCACAATCTCTGCAGGTTTGCTGGAAAGCAAAGATAAGGGATATTTCAAAGCGCTGTTGTGTTCTTTCTTTTCTCCACGCGTTATGGCACTCAGTTGAGCTTTGCTTTATATTGACCACAACTTTTCTCAATGTTTTTGTTGTTTTGGGGGACTGAAGTTGCACCAAACTTGTCTGCAAGAGCCAATCATTGTTATTTTGCTATGCATTGTACATATATTGAACAGGCTGAGAGGACTTAGCCTGTTCAAATATTTATTTCTTCTATTTATTGAGCACTACTTTAAAAAAGCTATTCGGGTCTTGCCATTGGGTCCATGAAGGTAGGAGCCTTTGAGGTGTTGCCATATACATTGGAGAGAGGTTATCGGAGAGGTGAATTACTGAGGCTGTCACCTGCCAGCACGGAGGCATCTGGCAGACAAATTAGGCTCATTTGGAGATCAACCGCCAGTGATTTAGGGAGAAGCCTCATTTAGATGGAGATGAGCAAGGCAAGGGAAAATCCTCCATCTTCTTGGACCAGCTTCTATTGACAAATCACCACCCCTTGGAAAGGCGCTGGGCGTTTGGAGGCGACAGGCCAGCTGTGGCGGAGGAATAACCCTGCTCTTTGTCCTCTGTGCCACGTAGGGCTGCTTGGATTGCCAAAGATCCCCGGAGATCTCTGATCTCCCACCGGTGGGCTTTCTTGGCTCTCAGTGGTTATTGGGGGAAGGGGAGACTTGTTGCCCTTTCATCGATGCAAGGAAGGGGACAGGGCTGAAGTGACTTGCTGTGGTCTCTACCGGGAAGCAATGATGTCCACCCTGCCTCGTCCTGAGACCCTCGTCCTCGTGCCATGTCCTGCTTTGCCCCCTTCCCCAAGCTTTGCGGCCGAACCAGTAGCTTTGCCTGGATGTGAGCTCGGGAAAGGTGGTGAGGACAGGACTGGGGAGGTCTCTCCTGTCATCTCCGACATGAGCCGGAGCTTGCTGCAGGCATCTACCCTAGCTTTGGAAAAAAGCATGGGATGTGCTAAAAATCATGACCTGCCCCAGTGTCACTCCACCAACGCCGCAGCCATTGTCCTCTTCATCCGAGTGGGAGGTTTTTGTGCTCCGTGGGCAGAGCTGCCCGGCTTGGCAGAGGATGGACGTGGCTCCGGCGTCGTCAGGCGAGAGCCCAGCGCCGGGCTATTCCCATGGAGCTGGCCAGAAGCCGTGGGGCGCTCAGCCTGGGGCTATCGTGGTATTTGTTTGAGAAAGGGATGGATTCAGGTGCCTAAGTGAAGTCTCTGCCCTTTAGTGTCCAGCGGGGTTTTACTACCTCTTTACCAGAGGATAAATAATTCTCGTGACTTTTGCTGCTACCTGGAAGTTTGCACATGCCTGGGAGGGTCTCCGCAGCACCGGTACACGATGCTTCACGGTCAAGCATCCCGACTCTTGGGCTATTGCCTAGAGAACAACACCCTGAACCTCACCGGCCCGGGGGCAGCTCTCCGCCTTCCAAACCCAGGGAATGAGAAGATCTAGAACAAAAGCCAAGATGGGAGAAAAGCCGCGAGGGAAGCGGTGTCTCTGTTTTCTCACCTGTTGGTCAATTCCTTACCAAATGACACCGGTGCGTCTGTTCATTTGACTTCATTGTAAAACTCCCTTTGCTCTCCATCGAAATGCATACTGTATTCTTTAGTCTTCCTGGGGTATTTCAGTTGTTAGCCTCGTTAGAAAAATTGTTCCAATAAAGGTTCGGACAGTATTTCCTTCTCATCGCAGCCCTGTTTGTCATGTTCCTTTTGGATCCGACTGCGTGTGGTGGGATATCTTGGGTTGTTTCAGCTGCTCTGCAGGGAAGGGCATGTGCCTCCACGCCCAGCTGCCGAGGACTGGCTCCTCAGGGCACTGGCTGAAGCAAAAAAAGTTGTGGGCTAGGATTTCTGGCAGCTCTCCCTTCCTTGCTGGGCCAGGCTTTCGCTGCCCTTTGCCAGGCGTTTTGGGTTTCCCCCGCCCCATTCAGGCACCAGTAGCCCAAGCCAGTCTCACCATGGAGGTCACCATTTGGGCTCGCCGGTGCTCTCCTCTGGGCTGTGCCCTTCCCACACAGCCCTTGCTCCAAGCCCTGCATGGTGCTCCTGTGCCACAGGCTCCCCCTGCGGTCACCTCCTCAGCCATCTCCCCGTGAGCAACGGGGCGGTGGGGACTCTTCACCACCCCAGATGATGCCCCTCGCCCTGGGATGCTCCCCTGGACTGGCTGGGGGAGCGGTAGCACCAGATCGGGTTCCCACGCTGTTCCTGATGGGGCTCAGATGGGCACCGAGGAAGGGTCTGGCTGCAGCACGGATGGACGCTGGGGACATGAGGCAGCGTCCCCAGGTCACTCGGAGGAGAAGGGAGGCTGTGAGGCTGCTCCGCGCTCCCCAGAGCTGATGTTGTGGGGCTGGCTCAGCCGTGGGAGGCAGCCAGGAGATTTGCAGTGACAACAGGAGCTAAATTGGGATGGCCCAAAGAGGGTGAGAGCCGGTGGAAGGGGACGTGTGACTAATGGGGATAAACAAGGCGACAGGGAGGATTCCTGGCTGGGGAGGGAGGATGGCCCGGAGCTATGCAAGGAAAAGAGGGACTGGAGATGTTGGGAGGCTCCTGGAAACACGGCAGGATCGTGGGACTGCCCGAAACCTCCTCAGGGCTCATCCCCCTCTCCCCATGGGCCAGCATCTGCCTGAGTGGGTGCAGAGCTGGGTGCTGGAGTGATCCTGCTCTCCATCCAAGGTGAGAGGTGCCCAGCTGAGCTCAGGCTCAGTGTGTGGCGATGTCCCCCAGGACACCCTGCTGTCACCCCCAGGCAGCAGGAGCCCCCAGCCGGGCAGGGGTAGCCAGGCAGGACAAGGGGACGGAGGGGGATGCTCTGCGCCTCTGCTGGCAGCTGCCTCCCTGCACCCAGGGGTGCTCAGCCAGCACCTGGGACCGCGCCAGGCATCTCCAGGTGTCCCCCTCAGTCCCCAGGGAGGCCCCCATGGTGCCCAGCTGTCCCCCCCAAGCATGGGGGGGCGAAGGAGCTGAGCATGAGGGAGCAGCCCTGCCCTGCGCCAAGAGGCAGCTCCCTCCCCCAGCAATGCGGTGTTGGTGCAGCGTGATTAATGCTGTTGGAGTGACCAGCGGCTGAATCGCTGTGTGGCCTGCGCTGCATTAAAGTCTTCCTGCTGTAATTAGCTCCATCAAGTCTATTAGAAAAATTGCAGATGCTGGAGAGGAGCGTGAGGCAGACCCAGGAGGGAGGATGCGACATGAGGAAGTGGTCCCTCATCGATGACGTCCCATCATCTGGCGCATCCCTTCACCCATCCGAGCTATGCCTGGACCACCTCCATGGGGAGCCCCTCGTTGCCACCAGGTACCCCCAGCTTGCGTGGTCGCGGCCGCGTTGCCCGGGCAGATGCTCACTGGGAACTCACCTGCCGCCGCCGCTGTGCCTCTTCCCACAGCACGCTGCCCGCTCCCCGCCACTGCCCTGTAATTAGCCCCGCTGCCGCGCGGCTGTAATTACCACCTCGCCCTGCCCGCGCACGGCAATTGTGGCAGGGCTGGGGCACGCGGCGGGGTGAGGAGGAGGAGGGCGAGGAGGAGGCAGGTGCTGAGGAGTGCCACGAGGACCCTGCCTGGCTGTTGCCTGGGGTCCCTCTCCTTCCTGCGGTTAGGGGACATTTCTCCAGGCCTGGCCGGGGAAGGCGGCCGATGAAGCAGGGCTGGAGTGGAGCATCTCTTGTCCCACGGCTCGCGCCCAGGCTCTGCGGCCAGCCCTGGGTGGCCAAGACCCTGCATGCTGCTGGCCACAAAAGGGGTCTGTCCCCTGCCCTGGCATCCCCCAAACACCCACCCATGGGGTCCCGCCGCCCTCGCAGTGCCACGCCGGGGTGCCACCAGTGACCCATTTCCTGGTACAGTGGGCTGCTTGGTGGGGCGGGGACACGGGGCTTTACAGTGAGGGGAGCAGCTTGGCCCAGCTCCACCGGGGGGTATTTTTAACGGGTGACACTGGGGTAAAAGCAGCCGGCCCTGAGCTCGGGGGCTATTTTGGGGCCGGGGCAGCTGCTGAAGCGCCGTGGCCCTGCAGCAGCCGGGATCCTCAGGCCGGCAGGAGAGGTCAGCTGCCACAGCCCAGATTCTCCACGGCTGTTTCATCCTCTCCAAAATACTCGGCTGACAGGGCAGGAATTGCAAAACACCCCCCCCCTCCCAAATCTGTATAAATAGCGCTCACCCAGCGGCTGGAAGGTTAGAGAAGTTTCTCGGCTCCGAGCTCAAGCATTTATTGCAGCTCTAGCCCGGGAGCGGCAGGGGAAGTCGCACGTAAAGTGCTGGGGAGCGAGAGGGGAGAGATAAGCTTTTTAATCTTGTGATATTCGGCATTTTTTGTTTTTTTTCCCCTCTCCCACTGCGAAGTTTTATTTTTCTTTCCCCAGTCCCTGGGATCACAGCCAGACAGGAAGCGTTTTCTCACGGCCAGAGAGCTCCCTCCGTCCTTCCTGCGCTCCTCCGGCTCCCAGTGATTCAGCCCTGAATTGATTTTCTCTGTCGTCCTTCACCTGGTGCCGGGGAAGGAGGGGACCGTCCCCGCGGCGCCCACCCACAGCCGCGCGCCCGCATCCCGCCCGGGGTGGATGTGTCTCCTCCGGGACAGGCTCCCTGGGGAAGTTCGCAGCCAGGAGCAGCCGCATAGAGGCTGAGGCTCTGTGGGAGAGCCCCAGGGACACGCTCGGACCCCTCCGAAGGAAGCCATGGCAGACAGCCAGATGCCCTTCTCCTGCCATTACCCCGGCAGGCGCAGCGTCCGCGACCCTTTCCGGGAGCCCGGCTTGACCTCGCGCCTGCTGGACGATGATTTCGGCATGTCGCCCTTCCCCGGGGACCTGACGGCGGACTGGCCCGACTGGGCTCGGCCCCGGCTCACCACCACCTGGCCGGGTCCCCTGCGCACCGGCATGGCCCGCACCTCCGCCATGGCCCCCGGCTACGGCACCCGCTTTGGGGGGTTCCCCGAGAGCCGCAGCCCCGCGCCCTTTCCCCGCGAGCCCTGGAAGGTGTGCGTCAATGTGCACAGCTTCAAACCCGAGGAACTGACGGTCAAAACCAAGGATGGCTACGTCGAGGTGTCAGGTGAGAGCGAAGGCACCAGGGAGGAGGAGGATGGGGCATGAAAAGTAGCCGGTCCTGCCCTGCCTATGCCGGCTCAATAAATTGCCATAAAATGCAAAAATCACCTTTATTTTAAGCCAGTGGGAACAGCCCCGTGCTTGGGAGCAGGGCCAGGGCTGCGGCAGGGCTTTGGGGCAGCCCCACGGGTGGTTCGGGGGTGCCACGGGGGGACCCGGCTCGCAAGCCGTGGTGGTTTGCTGCAAAAATGAAAAGGACAAGCCTCCTTTGGGGTAAATCTCCCCACTTTCTGCCCTGGCCGGCCGGGGAGGCACCGCTACAGGCGGCAGCACCCTGCAGCAAGCTGCCAAGAGGGGCCCCAGCTTGGCTCGGTTAATTATAGCCAGGGTGAGGCCGGTGTGGAGGGACATTCCCTTTAAAGGGGCCGAGAGAGAGGCAGCTCCGGTGCTGGGAAGCGGGGGGCAGCCACCCTGCGGCCCCCACCCCAACCCAGCCCCGACAGGCCCCA